CTTCAGACATGGCGATGTCGCGTCTGAGTATGATGGTCCCCGTGAAGCAGAAGGAATTGTTAAGGTAATTTCTGAACAAGATTGTTTAAAAGGAAATTAAGATTTATTTGTAAAATTTTTAGTATATGCGAGGACAATCTGGCCCAAGCTCAAAGGAGTTGAAAACTGTTAAAGAATTTGAGAAGTTTATTGACAGTGATGACGTCAGTGTTATTGGATTCTTTGATGATGAAAACAGCAAACTTAAAGATTCGTACCAGAAGGTTGCCGATACTGAAAGGGATAGATTTCGCTTTGCTCACTCTTTGGCTAAAGATGTGCTCAAAAAGACTGGATACACCGAGTATGTTTTTAGAAAAATTTATTGTAAATATCTAAATATAAACACAAATGTTCAAAATAGAATATAGGTATCTTGCCAAAGTCACGTAAAAATTATTTTTAGCGCCGCGTGCCATTATATCCAAATTATTTTTCTTCCTTTTCCCGTTCAATTTTTTGGTAAAATTGTCGTTTTCAGGCCGTCTTTTTCTCTTCCAAGTTTTTCCCTCTAAATTTATAGAATTGTCAGACTTTGTTTTCTCCCTTCTTTGTTCCTCTTTTTGTTTTTGCGTTTTTTACATTTTTTCCGTTTTGGAAGGATGAAGGGAAGGAAAATCTGATCATTCTATATATTACTATAATAGCACAGCTGATCAAAATAGACAAAAGCTGACTATTATAATTGTAAAAAACTTGGGGAGAAAAAATATGGGCCCGAATTTTTTCATAATTAATTTATACAGTGTAATTTTTTAGAGTAATTAATTTCACTGATTTTTGGTCTAACGGTAGAAAAATGATGAAATCTAACTCCCCTTTTATTAATTAAAAATTTCTTAAAGTTATTCCCTTATGTTTCATAATTTATATTTTTCACTACTCTAATTATTTTTATTTTAAATTATAGTAGATTTTCATTTTTTGTTTTCATCAGTCTTAAAGATAATTCTTTTCTAATCCCGTCAGCTGTTTGTTACCAAAACAACTAGGAGTTCTTCATATCTCTAATCTCTCTTTATGTTTACTGTTAAGTACCGTATCAATTTTATTATTCAAGGCTGCGTTTGGGCTTTGCTAACACAGCCGTGAATTATTTTTCAAATTCTTCACATCTATTCGCATCGAATGGTATTGATTTCCGATAGCGGCCGCCCTTTCCCCAACCATTTTTCATTTTCCAACCATTTATAAAGGCTGCCTACTCTTCAATATTCACTTTACTGATGGTGGTTCTTTTAGTAAAACTAGCTTTATATTCTTTTAAAGTCGACGGTTGGATGTTTGTCTTCGTTTTAGTTATTTCTAACAAAGTAATATTCAACTGAGAGTTGTATTTTTCTTAAATATTGAAGGTGGTTGTAATTTAGTTTTTCTGAGTTTAGTGCGGCGTTTATTTTATAAATTAACTTGTAAAAAATTATAATTATAAAGTAAACTCTTAACTTTAACGCATTGCATCTTTTCTAAAGTCAGCTTTAAAATTTAATTTTTGAATTACTAGTCTTTACTTTCGATAAGAATATCAATCTGTTTATTTTCATTGGTTTCCTAGCCATCTGGTACTAAAAGTATCTGGAAAACTAATTTTTCTATTAAAGTTTACTCGGATCTTGTTGAAATCTTTGTATTTTCTAGCAAGAGCTTGTTTATCGTCAGACAATTCACTGACATCTTCGATAAGACTGACAGATTGTGAGATTGCTTTTCGGAAATATGGTAGATTTTGACATATGCTATATCTGCTGTATTGAGAATAGTTTTGCTATAATTATTATAGTCTTAACGAATGTGTATAAATGTTGAGGCGATAACTTGTTAAAATTGGCTATCTTTTGAAAATTCTTAATTGTCATCTGATTTCGTTTCTTGAACTTTTATTCGTCTTAGTGTCGAGAAGGTGTGTCTTAACAAAGGTAGCACGAGACCAAAGACTCAGATTCGCGAATCTGATACGAAATTCTTGAGGATATTGTTTTTCATCAAAAATTAGTTAAAAATTCAAAGTGAAAATAACGATTTCGATTTGAGATTCCCGAGTTTTTCATTTCCAAATTCGTTAGTCGGGGTTCCCAACAAAAAAGTTAAGCTTTATTTCCCCCTTCCTAGAAGTAAAGTATTCACTTAATTCAAAATAATAATTTTTCTCCTTTTTGTTAAACTTTGTTTTTTATTTGAAAAAGGGTACTTTTCGGTTCTGCCACACCCCTCCCATATATTCGCAGGATATATTTTATATTTTTCCATACATACGTACAGAATGGTCAGACTTCCTCCTTTCTAGGGGAAATTGATTGAAGGGAAAACTTTGTAAGAAATTATCTTTTTTATTAATGTCTCTTTGAACATCCCACAGGGAAAATTGAGTGAATTGAATAAAGGAGAAATTTACATTGGAAGTAAAAATATAAAATATAACCTGCGAATGGGAGGGGTGGGGGCGGGGGTAGTAAAGTAACGAAAAAATGTACCGAAAAAAATCATTCAAAATTTATAATTATTATGAAATATCTTTGTAGTACCATAATAGCCGTAGAAAACTGGTGCAACTGCCGGGAAAACCGGGGCCGCCCGCGTAGCAGGCGAACATTCTACCACTGAATCACCGTTTCTATGACGATTGTTTTTCCTGATTTTCGGTATTTATAATTCTCTGAAGGTTTATTTAAAAATGATAGGAATATAATCATCAGTTTTTCATGTTGACTAAGTTTTCTAGTTCAGATTTTGATCAGTTCCCAATCACTGATTTTTCTTGTCATTCTTTTTTTATTGTGCGTTTATCTCACCAACACCCGTTGTATTCTGGCGATAGCTAACTTGTGATCACTTAATCAGTATTGATTTATCAACTAACATTTATTCTTGAGGATTTTTGATACTAGTTGTGTTTCTGATAAATTAACCTTGTCTCTGTGCACGTCTATAAATGCCTTATATTTTATCTACATTTTATGTTAGTAAATTAAGCGTAACCCACTTTAGTATGGTAGATTCATAACAAAGTTGATCTTAACAGTTTCGTTTAGTCTTTGTTTTTCATCATTTAATAGTTATTATATTTTCAATCGTTACTAGTGATAATTTCCATAAGCTTTCGCTTTAATATAGCTATAGAGAAGTTTCACGTTTTAGACATCAATTTAATATTTCATTTGTTTCCCCATTTATTGTTTGATAATTCCTTAAAAATTAACCTTATAGCTTTGTGATAGCCAACTTGTGATCATTTATTAATTCTAATTAAAAAACAATGTAAGGACTAATCCAGGTCAAAACCGACTAGTGCTTCATCTCAAAATATTGATAACAAACAATGAGCCAAGCTGTCAAATGATCCATCATTATCTTTTTCAATGCTTCATAGAGTGTAGTTTTTACGCTTGCTGCTCTTTGTCAGTGCAAAATTTGTTTCTACTAAATTGTATCTTTTTCCATTGCCCAATTTTAAGCTAGATTAACTTTGAAAACATTTGGTTAGTATTGCTTTTCAACCTATCGAGTTACAATCACATGAGTTATAATCTCACTTTTTTCTCAACATGTATATTCACCTATTTAAATAACATTGGAGAATAATATCTGGGTATTTATGATGGCAAATTTGAAATTGAATTTAAAAAAACGTATAAATTAAATTGAATTTAAATTGGAAATTTGCTACTGGTATATAAGTCGTTTTGCGCCTTGCGACTTTAGATATTAAGAATAGATATCATTGAGAATGTCTTTCCTTTTGAATGTTACTTGTAATCGCCAGACGCTTTTTGTGAAAATAAGGCTTAATAGAAGCTAAGTGAAATTTTCTAAAATCTGAAACATTCCAATAAAATCAACTTGAGAATCGGAAAAAATCGGAAAAGTATTTTTAAAATTTATCAGTGGTTTTGATTGGGTACAGCCCAAAATAACGCGCGGCCATAACAACGCAAAGTCATACCTAGCTGGAAAATTACTTGCCCTTAACAATTTTTGGTACCAATCTCTAGCTCGATGAGAGGAATCGTTTAACACTAAATTTGACAAGATTCGGAAATCTTGAAGCAAGATATGGCTTTGCGTTGTTATGGCCGCGCGTTGTTTTGGGCGTGTCCCGTTTTGATTAACGCATTTTTGTTTTCCTCTTTGGATGTTAAGTTTAACTATAAGTATATAACTTGTTAAAACCTCAACACATTTGAACTCTAACTGGAAGGATATGCATCTGTTCTTTACTTAGATTGCTAAAAATGCTAAGCACGGTTAAAAACATTTCTCATTGTTAGTGTGTGATTTTAAAAGATATTTTTTAAAGTTTTAAATAGAAAATAACCAAAGATTTAACATTTGTTTATATCTAAAAGTTGATAAGAATTGTAAGGATGATTCACCTAGCAGCATTTAAAACGCTTAGGCGGGGGATAAACGATCTAAAAAGGAAAAAGAGAAAGCATTAGTCGATGCCCCGGTAGCTCAACGGTAGAGCTCCTGCATATAGTGAGCGAAAGCGCCTAGCAACAACTAGCAGGTGGTCGCAGGTTCGAATCCTGCCCGGTGGCTAAACTTTTGCAAACTCTTTCTGGTGCCGCTAACAGGGATCCCCACTTGCTGCTGGGTGAACCAGCCGATCCACGGTCATGGCGCTTGACCGAGGGACCGGTCTGATGTAGGGATGGAGATGTAAGGATGATTCACCTAGCAGCATTTAAAACGCTTAGGCGGGGGATAAACGATCTAAAAAGGAAAAAGAGAAAGCATTAGTCGATGCCCCGGTAGCTCAACGGTAGAGCTCCTGCATATAGTGAGCGAAAGCGCCTAGCAACAACTAGCAGGTGGTCGCAGGTTCGAATCCTGCCCGGTGGCTAAACTTTTGCAAACTCTTTCTGAATATATCAAATAAGACCTGTGAATGGGAACGGATTTTGGTATGCGGATATTTACGGCGGATATCCGCAGGCATCTTAGATATTGTATCCGTATACATGCACTGGTCTGTATTAAATATTTAATTATTACATAATTTATGATCTATTACATTTTAAAAGAAGTCAAATATTTATATTCGAAAAATGTTAAAATCAAATCATGCCTTCATAAAATTATTAGAGCGCGGAATTTCGTTCCGTATCGTATTCCGTACCGTACTACCGATACGGAATACCGATAAATACCGAAAAATACGGCCGTAGTACGGTACGGTCTGCGCTCTAAAAATTATATTTAATTTTTTTAACAATTTATTCTTTTCTTAAAATTACTTATGTAAAAACAATTAATTCGCTTAAAAATAATTTAAACAAATTGATCTTTTAAACATTTATTTCAGTGATATTGTTGTTTATGTTCCTAAGAAGCTTCACAATAAATTCGAGCCTTCATTCTTCCATTATGACGGCAATTATGATACTGACAAAATCAAGAACTTTTTGGTTCAAGAAACGTAATTTTTAACATTAGTTTTTGGAATATGTTTTCTATATTACGATATTTTGCGTTGAAAATCTTTGTTCATAATTAAACTTAATTTTACAGGAATGGACTTTGCGCGATTCGTACACAAGGCAACCTCTTCCAATTTACACAGCGTCCACATATTGTTGTCTATTACAACGTTGATTATGCCAGAGATCCTAAAGGCTCGAATTACTGGCGCAATCGTGTGTTAAAGGTTGCACAAGACTACAAACGAAAAGCATTCTTTGCTGTCAGCAACAAAGACGAATTTTCTAATGTAAGGGATAAAAGTGTTGATATTTTGATTTATTTTTTTAGGAAATTGAACAGAATGGTCTTGCTGACAGAAAAGAAAGTGATAAACCTTTGGTTGCTGCTTTTACGGATGATGGGAAATATCCCATGAATAAGGAATTTAGGTGTGATTAAATTTAAGTAATATTTCAACCAAGTATGCGTATATTCTTTAGTGTTGAAAACTTGAAGCAATTTGTTGATGATCTCTTGGCCAACAAGCTTGAGCCGTACATGAAGAGCGAACCAGTGCCTGCAGAACAAGGCGATCTGAAAGTTGTAGTTGCTAAGAACTTCAAGGAGTTGGTGACAGATTCTGACAAGGATGTCTTGATTGAATTGTAAATTTATATTTATCATTTGGTAGATATGTTCTTTTTTAGTTATGCTCCTTGGTGTGGTCATTGTAAGAGTCTCGCTCCCAAATATGAACAACTTGCTGAAAAGGTAGGATAGTTCACTTTGTGATTGTTACTACCTTTATCATTATAAGAACTAAGTAAACTATTAGAATTTTAATTAATATGTATTTGTTCAATTACTAACTAATATTTTAAAACATTTGTAGATGGCCAAAGAGGATGTGGTCATTGCCAAGTGTGACGCAACAGCAAGTGAGTTTTGATATAAAATTTTTAATTTTATTTTAAAAATTAAAATTGTAATAGAAGGTATACACTTGACCTCTATCTTAGATAGCATAAAATAGGGTACTTTTCGGTTCTGCTACTTATTTTTAAATTTTGTTGACAACACGATATCCTGGTTAGCCACTTAAGCTACCCCAATTTAAGTTACTCATTATAAGGTAGTACGAGTTCCTTAGTCCTAAAGAATACCTAAAAGTGAGGGTCGACTACTATATAGTCTTCAAACTGGTAGTAGGGAATCACTGAGGATCATTGTGTTGAGTAGTTATTTTTGTTACAACTTAATAATTTCTATTTTTCAGATGATGTTCCACCGAGATTCGATGTCAAAGGGTTACTTACAGTAGTCGACAAAAAGATAGGGACAAACGCAAGCAAAATGAAAATCACCTATTTTCTCGGTTAAAAATCGATTTTAGAAAAAATTTTTTGATTTATTAAATACTATATTTAATGCTCTATTTAATGAGTAGAAAATTTGCCTGTTTAATTTTTTATAAAATTCAACCCTTATTGAAAAACTAAAGGTATGCTATTTTAAGCGCGACAAAAAGATAGGGACAAGTCTTGTAACTAAGTTCTCATAGAAGCGAAAAATCTACAAAATTTATTGTAAGCATATTGATCGATAATAAGAAGAAATAAAAGAGAACTAGGTCCATATCTCATTTCGTTGTCGAGATCCAGATAACCCAAAAATCAACGTAAAATAGGATTTTTCGACTTCAAAATTTTTTTCGGACCCCTTATTGATTGTTTTAAATTTTCATTTTAGGCCTATTCGATAGATCTTTAATTGTGCTATAAACGTGACAAATTTCATTTTTTAAAAAAATTTCACTCCCGAGATAAAGGACGACGATTCTTCAAAACGCCATTTTTGTGGGAATTTATGGGGTGTTTGTTGCTTTTTGTAACATTCGCCTCTGCAACTAACGAAGTATTTTTTTCTGAAAAATGAAATTTGGCTAGTTTATAGCAAATTTCAAGAGCTATCGAATAGGCTCAAAATAAAAATTTTAAAGAATCCATAAGGGGTCGAAAATATTTTTTGAAGTTGCTTACCCCTGTTTTACGTTGATTTTTGGGGTATCGAGATCTCGACATTGAAATGAGATACGGGCCTAGTTCCTTTTTATTTTAACTTAGTAACGATCATTATGTTTGCACGAATTTTTCTAAATTTATTGGTTGGGTGACTACTTAGTTACAAGACTTGTCCCTATCTTTTTGTCGGGCTAAAATTTGCAGTACTTTTTTATTTAAATTATTTCAGTATATCAAAAAATAGTAATCCGCCAGATCTTATACTTATTAAATAGAGCATTAAATGGTGTATTTAATCAAACAAAAAGTTTTTCCTGAAATCGATTTTTAGCTGAGAAAATAGGTGATTTTCATTTTACATGCGTTTGTCCCTATCTTTTTGTCGACTACTGTATTTACTTTTTTGTACAAGTATTAATCAGGATATTTTTAGATTTCCTACCATCTTTTGGGTTCCAAAGAATGACAAAGAGAATCCCGTACCCTACCAAGGCGGACGTGAAGTGAATGACTTTATCAAGTTCATTGCTGAACATGCAACAGATCCATTGAAAGGCTATGGACGTGATGGCAAGAAGAAGAAAGCAAAGAAGGCCGATGATAAGAAGCCGAGCGATGAACTTTAATTGGATTTTTTTGGAAGAATTTGTGGCAAAAATATTTAAAATGGTTTATTCACTATTCTTTAAAATTATTTTTTTTAATTGAAAGGAAATTTTTGGTTTAAAAATTTCAGAATTTTTTTCGATTCTTCTAAATTCTGATTTTATTGGAAAAAATTTTTAAAGACAAATTTCCTTTCAAAAAAGCTTTTCTGCTTACATTATTTATTTTTTAAACTTAAATGATAGGGTGGCTTTTCCAAATACCTAAAATATTTATTTGTAAAATCTTTTCTGCTTAAATATTTTTTCCATTACTTTAAGTTAAATCTTCTGATTTCAAGACTTTTTTCCATAATTTTAAAATACCGTGCCTTTATCCAGGCTTTGTTAATTCTATTTCTTTATAAAATAATTTGTTTTGATGTATTTCTATATTTTTAATTAAAATAAAATTGTTAATTAATATTTTGTCGAGAATTTTTGTGCAGGATTGTGGGTAGGAATAGAATTTTGAATTTAGCGCGTTTTTGGCAATCTACAACTTGGTATTTTACGTTGAGATTTTATGATCGATTTTGTGAAACTATTTTTGCCGTGTTCTTTAGAGTGTAGCTGTATGTTCTTTTGGATTAAATCTGCTTTATCCTTTCGAGTTTTAGTATGTTTTCCAGAATTTTTATTAATACCATCCATTCAAGTCTGAACAAGATAATTTGTGTATGGTGGTAAGTTTTGCACAATCCTGAATTGCAAACTTTCAAATTAACTCTGTCCTTAATGCTATTCTTAACTATACACATCTTTTGTGGGACTGTATAATGCATAATTCCTTATTAATTGAGAATTTCTTCCACGTAGTTTAGTCATTGTTAAAGCTTTAATTAAATACTTGACTCGATTTTCTTGGCGTTTTCGGCAATTTTTCCTTAATTTTTTTTACATTTTTTGATAATTTTAATATATCCTCTATATTCCGGATCTTTTAAGACAGCTTAGATCATTTCAGAACGTTAGGCATTCGAAGTTTAGGTATTGAATTCATAGTCATGTGAATTATCGATTTTTTTCGATGGTAAACGTTGCTCTAAATTATTCATCTTAAACATCCTCTATCGAACTAAAGTAGCATTTATTGTTAATCCAAACTGTAAAATAAGATTCTGAATGCCTAATAATGTTAGATCTAATCTATTCAAGTCTAATTTCCCTCGTTTTTTGTCGAAAAAAGTAAAAATTTCCAATTGCCGATCCAATTTGGTGGGAGTTTTTTGATTAAAATTTTTGGCATAATGTCAATTTTTAAGATTGACAAATTATAATGAGCAGTTCTGATTAGTGAACGACATATCTACGTTTTCGTCGATTCGCGGCGAATAACTACTTTTATTCGCGAACGACTTTTTTTAAACACACAACGCCAGAACTACGTTAATATCGATGTTTTGCGCCAAACGATTGCGAATCGACTTTTTTGTGTCTCTTTTTCTCTAATTTCACATTATATTTCCTTTCTCTTTTTCTATTAATTTTCTATGTCGTTGTCTCTCCATTGGAATTCTCTCCATTGGACTTTCCTCTTAACATTTCTCGTGAAATGCTCCAACAATCCAAAATTCTTAAAGTGATCCGAAAGAATTTGGTCAAGAAGTGTATCGAACTTTTTGATGAAATTGCTGAAGACAAGGACAACTTTAAGAAATTTTATGAACAATTCAGCAAGAATCTTAAGGTTTTTTTAAATGTTTTTTTGAAAATTATTTGTTCTTTAGTTGGGTATTCACGAAGATTCTGTCAACCGTAAAAAGCTTGCCGAATATCTCCGTTACAACACTTCCTCTTCTGGCGATGAACTTGTTAGCTTGAAGGATTATGTTGGACGAATGAAGGAGAATCAGACTTGCATTTATTATATTACTGGCGAGTCTAAAGAAGTTGTTCAAAACTCAGCTTTTGTTGAACGTGTTAAGAAGCGAGGTTTTGAAGTTATTTATATGGTTGATCCAATTGATGAATATTGCATTCAACAATTGAAAGAATGCAATTTGCAAAGTTATTAAGGTATTTAAGATTTTGTTTAAAGTATTTTGGAATATTTGTTTTATTTTTAGTGTTAGGATATTTTGGACAAAAAAGTTCAGAAAGTGTCTGTTTCAAATCGATCGACTCCGACCAAGATGACAAAACTGCCAAAGATTTGGTTGTTTTGCTCTATGAGACAGCTTTGTTGACTTCTGGCTTCTCTCTTGAAGATCCACAACAACACGCTTCACGTATTTACCGAATGGTAAAACTAGGATTGGATATTACTGAAGAGGACTTGGAAGGAGGAGAGCAACAACCCTGCACTTCTGGGGAACCTGTCGAAAAGATTGCCGGTGCAGAGGAGGACGCTTCGCGTATGGAGGAAGTTGATTAAATTAATGTAAAAGGTTTTGATGGATTGATCTCCTCGTTGACTTTGTTTTTCTTTAAATTTATTTTGTTTTGTCGTCCTTATAATTATTTACTTTGTTTTTGAATCACGGATACATAAATTAATTTCACGAAAAAGTTTGTCTTGATTTTTAATTTGAGATCTGTTTTAGGGGAGGTGGGGAAACAAACGGCAGGATCAAGGTAAGCAGCACATCTGATGATGGAAAGACTTTCCGGATTTTCAATGAAAATTTCACTCATCTTCCTGTTAAAGGCTTTCAATCCACTTTTGGCTAAAGCTGCTCAGACTAAATCATCTCCTCTTACTTCTCCTCTCCATATAGTAAGAATATATGTGGAAAAATTCCTAAAAATTACAGAAAAGGGACTGAACATTTATAAAAATGGAAAATTGCAAATTCCAAAGGAGAGACTACACGAACGAAAATTAATAGAAAAAGAGAAAGGAAATATAATGTGAAATTAGAGAAAAAGAGACACAAAAAAGTCGTTTCGCAATCGTTTGGCGCAAAACATCGATATTTACGTAGTTCTGGCGTTGTGTGTTTAAAAAAAAGTCGTTCGCGAATAATTGTAGATTTTTTTAAAACGACTTTTTTTCCTTAAGAAAAAGTCGATATGTCGTTCACTAGTTCTGATTCATCTGATAATGAACTTATTGATGATGAGATTTCGCAAGAGCCCTTAGAACCTAAAAAGGCTATTGAAAAGATCCTTTCTTGGCGTTGGGTTGAGCGAAAGAAGAAAAATATTATTCAATCAAGTGACGAAGATAACGAAGAACAAGATGATGATAAAAATAGTATAGATGGGGATGTTTATCGTGATCGTGAATTCTTTATCAAATGGAAATATATGAGCTATTGGTGAGGTTTTTTTTAAATTTTTTACAAAGCTTTGGCGTTTACAAAGAGTAGGTTATTTTTAATTCTTAAATCTTAATCGGGGTTTAAATTTATTTTTCTTGTTACTTAAGGCGTTGTGAATGGGTTAATGAAGATGTGTTGGAACAGAATTACAAGCAAGCACTTCGTAATTATTGGAGACGGATGGATCCGAATGTACCGCCTGAAGTGGATGATGGTTCACATGAGGATTTAATTACGGGCAAAATCGACGACAAGGAAAAGGTTTTTTGTTTTAAGAATTGTTGTCGGGTTACTCTGGAATAAAATAATAATTTGTTAAGACTTCGCTATAACATTAAGTAAATACATTACTATATTTTATTACGGTTCGATTTGTAAAGGCAACTTTCTTTTAGCGAATACAATATTTGTTATCAAGTCCCTAAAAATAAATTTTTTAGGAAGATGATCCTCACAATATGGAGCAAAAATATTATCGATATGGAATTAAGCCAGAGTGGATGCAGGTTATTTTCATAAAATTCCATTCTACTAGACATTTTAAGGTACATCGAGTGGTTAATCATGCGGAATATGAAGATAGTGAATTTGATTATCTTGTGAAGTGGCGTGAACTTTTATATGATCAGACCACATGGGAACGTGATGATCTCGACATTCCTGGATATCAAGATGCTATTGCTAGATATTGGAAACATAGGTAATTTTGATTTTGAACTTACCCTGAAATAGATTTATTTTCCCATCATTTTTAGGAAGCTAACAATTGGTGAACCTATTCCGAGAAGTGTTTTGGATAAAATTAAAAGGAATGCAGAAAAAGAAGATGGGGAAGCTTCCTCCTCTCCAAGTGGTGGAGATGATGAAGACGACGAAGATGAACATCATGTGAAAAAGAACTCTAGGCGAGAATGCAGCAAGCCTCTTTCTGAGGTTTGTTTTAAACAAAACATGATTTTAGACGATAATTCTCAAACTTTATAGCTTAAAAAGAAGTATGAAAAACAACCAGATTATGTAGCTGAAACGGGCGGCACATTACATCAACATCAATTGGAAGGATTAAATTGGTTACGTCACTGTTGGGCTAACAAAAAGGATGCAATCTTAGCGGATGAAATGGGGCTGGGAAAGACAATACAGGTCTAGTGTCTATTCTTAATAATTTTTTCTTGAAATCATTTTTTCCCAAAAATTTGGCATCATCCATGTTTACGGCAGATAAAAAATATTTCCCATTTTTATCTGGGTCCATCCCAAGAGGTCTGGTCAAATAACCCAAGAGGTTAAATGACCCAAAAGATCAAGTCCCTCCCTATTGGTCAAATCCAAATATTAGTTTAGATAAAGTTGACTGATCTAGAATAGTTTGCCTGCTTACTTTTGCCTTATCTGAAACTTGCCATAGGTATCCTCTTAATACGTACCACCGATATTCTCTTAATACCCGCAATGCACAAATCCTTATCTCTCAAATATTTGGATTTGACCTTTTAGGATTTGACCTTCTGGGTCATTTAACATCCTAGGTTTGCCTTTTGGGTTGATCCCTTTTATTTTTTATTTTCTATTTTCTTAAGTTCTAGATATTTTTCTTATTTTAGACTCTCGTTTTCCTTTATTCCCTTGTCAAAGAAGGATACACCAATGGTCCGTTTCTTATTTCTGCTCCTCTTTCTACACTGATCAACTGGGAGAGAGAAGCTGAATTTTGGACGCCCGATCTCTATGTTGTTACTTATATTGGAAATAAGCAAAGTCGTGAAGTTATTCGGTTAGTTTTTTGTCTTTTATTGCAAATCAGAACTTACAAAATTTGATTTTTTCGCAATTTTTATTGATATTTTGTCATTTTGTGACAGCTCCTTAACTCGCTTTTTAAATCAAGGTCGGACCGATAAGCTCTAAAATTTAGTATGAACGGACCCTGTCTATTTCTTTTATGTTATAAAATTTAATTTATTCTTTATTTTAGCGAGAATGATTTCCTCTTCCCTGCCTCCACCAATAATCACAGTTCTCATCATCAAGAGCAGAAACGCCGAAAGAAAGTCAACAAGCCAATACCAAAATTCCATGTCATGTTGACTTCCTACGAGGTTTTCTATTTTTAAATTTTTAATATAATTTTGTTTTTTTAGTTGATTAGTATCGATAAAGCAATTCTGTCAACAATAGACTGGGTCGCTTTGGTTGTTGATGAAGCTCATCGGCTAAAAAACAACCAATCCCTTTATTTTCGGACACTTCAGGAGTTTGATATTGGTTATAGGCTTCTTCTCACGGGCACTCCTTTGCAAAATAATTTGGAAGAGTTGTTTCATCTTTTGAACTTTCTGAGTCCAGATAAATTCAAGTAAGTTAAAATTTATAGTTTTTGACTGGTTTAGTTTATACTTGAAAATTTTTTTCCTTTCGGGGGAGGGGGGGGGTGTGGAAAGGTCGTCTCACTCCCTGGATCTAGCCAGGGCAGAATCGGTTTAATTATAAAAATCCCATCCTCAAGACTATGTTACTCAAAAATGTTGAGTAGTTGCCGTATTTTCTCGTTCATAGCTGGATGTCACACTGCCATGTTTTAATTTTATCGAGTTTGAACTTGACACTGCCGTCGATATTTTATTTCTTCTACTTTCCTTTTCTCTTCATTTCAGGATTTGTAAGAGGCTAATTGCCTCTCTGATCTACATGAACTGGTGTGTATCATACTGCCTTTACAGAAGAACTTTCAATTTGCTCGTATGTTTGAATAGGCATATTTCGGCAAGGCGTCTTTTGGATATGAAAGTTGTTTTTCCTATTGATCGATGTTAAGCTCCTTGCCGATTTATGCGAAAATTTCAACAGCCTCAAATATGTACCCCGCTTGCATCCAATTATGGCGCGCTGACTCGCGCCATAATTTTGTATATATTTTTGTACATACTAGACCATGAATGAGAAAACTGGGTTGCCTATAAGTGCCTCTATTCTACATGAACTTGTTTTTCGTACTGCTTTTCAAATAGATTTTTATAAGATACCGGAACTTATATACTTGTTAATCCTTTTATGGCATCGTCGTTTAGCGTTGATTTCTTTATCTTGGTGAGAAAACTCATGGCATATAAAAGTCCATCTTATGTATATGAGTTTCGGATATTGCTAATATAATATTTAATTCTAATTTTGCTTATATTTTTCCTAAATGTTTTAAAATTCCTTTTCATGACTTATTTTAATCTAATGTATCACATTGTTTGTTTTTTGGTAACGATATCTCGCCTTAACATTATATTGCTGAGAAAAGTATTATCTCATTTTCTATCCATAGATTGATTTTAAGCTCTTTTTAAATATATCCTTTGATAATTAATTTTTTAATTTTGCATATGATATTTGTCATAGTTAAGATTAATTATTTACGCCCATTTTCAATGGCCCATAAAAGGCGAGCGAGAACCGGCCAAATAGATTCATTAAATCTCAAGTTTTCACACCGACCCAAAAGATGGCCGGTTCTCACTTGAATAAATCTTTTAAAAAGTAGGTCTGTTTTAATTGGTGGATTCGGCGCGCCCTATGTGGGTTGCCACTCTTGGGGCCCACCGCTGGACTTGTTATTCTAATTAGAATATTAATATTGTAGTGCTTGGAGATATAAAAATTTTAATATGTTTTTGTATTACGGTGGGAAGCAACGCCCCTTTTTTGTCAAGTTTTCAAAAAACAAATCTTGAACGGACAGTTGTTGTTTTCCCACCGGCTTTTCCTTTTCCCCTCTGCCAGCACTCCCTCTATTTTGAGCTCGGCACGAACCTTTATATATATTTATATTTAATTAAAATAAATCTTTTCGGAGCAAACTATTTAATTTATTTAACTAGGAGTCTTGCAACATTCTTGCTTAATGTTTATAATCTCCTTTATTATTTTTACCCAATGTATTACATTGTTTGTATTTTGGAAACGATGTCTCGCCTTAACATAATACTTTAAAAGTATACTCTTTTTTTTGTTCGTAGATTATCTTTATTTTTTTTTCGAACATATTCATTGACATCAATGTAAAACTTAAAATCATCTTCAATATTTTAAAGATATTTTTAGTTATAATATCTAAACTTGCCTTATCAAATCTATTGCCTTGTTAAATTTTTACCCCAATATTTTATTCACGATTTAATAGTTTATTCTGGCAATAATTTTTTGTCTTATCCAACTGCTATTGCATATATTTGCGTCTAATAAAGTTTCTATTTTATTACCTTGCTTATTTAATAATGCATTTATTGAGCTTCGGTTATTCTTTAAATTTCATATCATCCCCTTAAGTTAACACTAGATAATTACAACTTTTTACTCGTTAACTTTTATAAATCTTCCAATCAAATATTCAAGACATATCAGCTGAAAATGAAAGGGAAATCCGAATAATGTCAATCTCTGTCAATTTAAATTTAGTTTTTTATATCTGAATCCTATACCCTTTAATTTCGACTTGAGAAAATACGGTCATACATATTTTCCTTCATAATTAATCTATACGAATTATAGCGATCTTGAATCCTTCACGAGTGAGTTTGCTGAAATTTCAAAAGAGGATCAAATCCAACGCTTACATCAACGACTTGGTCCTCACATGTTACGAAGGATGAAGGCCGATGTTCTTTCTGGAATGCCCTCAAAGAGTGAATTAATTGTTCGCGTTGAGCTGAGCCCATTGCAAAAGTTATTCTTTTCTTTTGCAATTCTTTTTTATTCTCTATCTCAGGAAGTATTATCGCAACATTCTGACAAGAAATTTTGAAGCGTTGAGTGTTAAAAATGGCCGATCTCAGATGGCGCTTTTGAATATTATAATGGAATTGAAGAAATGCGCCAACCATCCTTTTCTATTCCCAAAAGCTAGCATGGAAGCTCCAAAGCGTGTTAATGGCTCTTATGATGGAGAATCAATGATTAAAAATAGTGGAAAATGCATTCTCTTACAGAAAATGTTGAAACGTTTAAAGGAGCAAGACCATAGAATATTAATATTCTCTCAAATGACTAAAATGGTTTGTTTTGTTTTTCAAAGTTATAGTTAATTTTTAAATTTAATCGCCGTAAAACTTTTCGTTTTAGTTAGACATTCTTGAAGAAATGCTTGACTATTTGGGTTACAATTATGAGCGTATTGATGGTTCCATTACAGGACAGAGCAGACAGGATGCTATTGATCGTTTCAATGCTCCCGGTGCTCAACAATTTGTATTTTTGCTCTCTACTAGAGCCGGAGGTCTGGGTATAAATTTGGCAACAGCTGACACTGTTATTATTTATGACTCGGATTGGAATCCACATAACGACATTCAAGCAGTGAGTCGAGCTCACAGGATTGGACAAACGAAACAGGTTTTTTCTGTTCTGCAATATTTTCTTATCGAAATTATTAGGTCAAAATCTACAGACTCGTCACCAGAGGTTCGGTAGAAGAAGAAATTGTTGAAAGAGCAAAGAAAAAACTTGTTCTTGATCATCTAGTCATCCAGCGAATGGGCAAAACTGCACTCTCTAAAAACGCCATGAATCAATCATCACGCGTTCAATTTGACAAGTCTGAATTAGCCGCAATCCTAAAGTTTGGTGCAGCTGAATTATTCTCTGAAAAAGAAGGCGAAGCTCAAGATCTGGAATTTGATATCGATGAAATTTTGAATCAAGCAGAGACGAGAGATTCTACCGAAACTGCTGGGTTGGTTTTGCATTAGTTGATTTTAAAATTGATTTTTTTATTTATTACCAGTCGAAATTAAATTTTTCTCTAGACATATCCTCATAAAATTATTTCTGATGTATAATTTTTTGAACTTACAATTTTAGAGCGAATGAATTACTTAATTCTTTCAAATACGCTAACTTCACCATCGATGATGAAAAGGAGCTGACAGATTTGTCACAACTTGATGAATCCAGTCGAATGGACGACAGTCCAGGCAGAGCAAGTAAATCTCCAGTGTCTGTAAAGGATGAAGAAGAATGTGATCGTGATTGGGCACAAATTATTCCAAAAGAAGAAATTGAACGTGTAATGGAAGAAGAAAAGCAAAATGTGCAACAACAGCTTAAACCTAGGAACCGGCCGACAATTCGAACATTTGCTGAATCAGATAATGATGAAACTAGTGATTATGATGAAAGTGGAAAAAAGAAGAAAGGCAAAAAGGTTTTTACTTGAAATTAAATTTATCCGATAAAATAATTTTTCAAAGGTTGGTAAAAAGAGTGTTTCTAGCACAGTGAAGAAGCGAGGAAGACCATCTAAAAATGCTAGTGAAAGTGAAGCAACTCCAGCTGGTGAGAAGCGAAGAAGGTCAAAAAAGAAAACTGAAGGCGATACTGCAGAAGGAGATTCGTCGAAGAAAAAGAAGCGTGAAAAAATAGATGGTGTATTGACGATTAGAAAAAAGAAAGGGGATAATTCTGAGGCAGACAATGCAAATAGCAGTGAGAAGGTAGTTGAATATTTTTTTAGATTTATTGCTTAATTGTTGTGATTTTTTATTTAATTTGTTTTTTTTCAGAAGCATCCTCCAACAACATTTGAACGAGCTGTATCTTTGGCTGTCAATAAACGAAAATATGAGTTAGACCTGAAGGATCGCAACGGGCAACCTTTTTTAAAATGTGTTGATTTTTTCCGACCGCATCTTAAATATATGAAGAAACTTGTCAGCAAAGGAGATCCGCTTGAATCTGAAGCTATTAAATACCTTGTAATTTTTTGTAAAATAAAAAAATATTTTTTTATCTTTTTAGGTTAAGCTTGGAAACTACATAACAAAATATGTCATCGATTTAATAAGAAAGTGAGTTTAAATTAATGTCTTTGACAAATAAAATTAATAATTTCAGAAAAGAACCTTTACTCGTCCAGAAACAGGCTAGTAATTTAAATTATATATTTTAAATAGAAATTATTTATGAATTTTACCGCCTTTTGTTGTAGTTAAAATTCATATATAAATCACAGAATTACCTGTTTTTATGAATACCTATTTTAACTTAATTCCGGATGAAAAATGTTAAAATTTATTCTTAATTTTATTTTTTATAGTGGCACAACTACTTGTGGATATTTTTGTCACAATTTGTTAAAACACATCACGACCCAAGTCTTTTATTAAACGCATATAGAGTATATGCTCGTAACCACCAACATTCAACAAATGTATCATCAACAGCAGCAACATTTAGGCGCTCTTCTGGGCCAAGTAGACAACAACTTCCATCACTACAACAAGCAACAGACAAAAAGACAATAGAAGTTACAACATCGTCATCATCAAATATACAGTCTTCTGTAATAAATTCCTCGTCAAATATATAGTTTTTAAAGTTATTTTAATTTTCTAAATCGGTGTGTGATTTTGTTAATTTGTTTATTTTTAAATTTTTTTCGAAAATAATTTTTAAACAAATAAAAATATTTTTGGATTACACACCTTTCATGTTTTTTTGTTGTGCACTTTTTTGTGTCCCTCGTCTCCCCATTTTAATTTTCATTTTATAGTTATTAATGTATACATTTTATTATTATGAATAATTTGGTGTGATCTTTTTTATATTTTTTTTAACATTTATGATAGAGGCCGAGGTAAATATTATTTAGAAAAATCGCGGAATTATTTTTAAATTTTGGAGAATATTTAATAAGTACGTACAAGACAAGGAATCTTTAATCAGAATATTTAAAAATCGTATAGTGGTAGTTTGTTCTGTTTTTAACTCAATTTTCTTTCTGGATTAGAGAGTTTTTTAGCCCCAAAATATTTTCAAGAAAGTTAAATATAATGTGGGTACGTGCGATTTATAGAATCTTTTTAAATGAATAATTTTTTTAAATCCTGATTTTTTAAAATCGTGTAGGGATAACGTCTTAAAATCCCGCAAATCCTGTAATCATTGGAAAACTACTTCAAAAAAATAAAACATCTTGAAAGATTGAATCCTCTTTATATCCAACTTTTGTTTTGCATTAGAATAATTCAGGACTAAATAAATAGTAATTTCTAACCCCATGATAAGTTTTAAAATTTTCTAACATTTTTCGAGGAATTCATATTTAACAGATTATTTTTATTATTTTTAGAAATTAACGTGTCAAATTTTCTAAAAAAACAAAATTAAAAAATGACATCAAGCTTTAAATTGTTAAAAAAAACTTTACTTCTACAAAGAGAATATAAAGTAAACAAAATAAAGAAAAATCAAAAATATTTTTATAAATTTAAAAATTCATTCAATAACATTTTTAATGAAAATATTTATTTTATATTTTTTTGTTTTATTAACAAATTTATGGGGAATATTATTTACAAATGCTTGTAGTTGTGCAAGAATGTCGGTAGAAGAGAAATATTGTAATGCTGGTTGGGGTTAGCTAGAAGAATAAAATTTAATTTAAAAAATAAAAATTAAGTTGCTCATGTAAAATCACTCAGACGTGCAGAAGTACGAGATAAAGATGGGGCTAGTGAATATGAATACACTGTTAAACTTTTAAAAACTTTTAAGGTAAAAATTGGTTAAATTTATAATTGATAGGTGAAGGGAAGTTTTTGAAGGAGAATGCTCATTTGTATTTCTTTCCTACAATCTCATACATAGAAGGTTTAATAAAAGGAGGAATAAAAGGAGGAAAGGTTTAAATAAAGGAGGAAGAGGCCTTCGCGAAAATTCCTCATGAAAAGCCTTCTGGGTCTTGAAAGTCACGAATTTTTGTAATTATTAGGGTTGCCGTTTTCGAGTCGAGCCGAAATTTATCGGTGCATTTTTTCGAGCTTGGTTTTTTTCGATTCGGTTCGTTTTCGAGCTGAAAAGCCTCGGCTCGCTCGATCTTTCGAGTTTTGGTTCTAGCGAGCTGGCAACCCTAGTAATTATGGATCAGAGCACTTCGACTGAAGATATTTTGAGATAAAATTCTAAAAAATTCTTTTTGGTTTTTTTTGAAAAAAAAAGATTTTTGGCTTCAAAAAAGCTAAAAAATTTTTTTATTTAAGGACAGCAAAACTTGTAATCAAAATAATAAAATTGATTGTGTTTATTCTAAAACAAATAGTGCTGCTTGTGGAGTTAATCTAAAAGATGGACAAGAATATTTGCTTTTTGGTAAAATTGGGAATAATTAAAATAATTAAATAAATTTAGGAGGATATGAGGATGATGGAAAGAGAAAAATAAGTTTATGTGGATATTATCAAGAATGGGAAAAAGTAGACGAGAAATTAAAGAAATTATTGAAAGATGGGGATATGGATAAATACTGTAAATAAATAAAATAATTTTGTAAAAGATTTAATAAATATATTGCATAAATAGATATAGTCACACTTAGATTTTAGTTAAATTATTAATTTTTATCGAGTCTGATATTACAACAAATGAGGAAAATTAATTTTGTTATGATTTTTATAGTTATATATTTATGTCAAATACATCTAACTAATTGAAAAATCAGTGAAACCGAAACCACAGTGATCAGTTTAAGCCGGCATTTGAGCAGTATAATCTAATTTGTAAGTATTTGAAGTTGCCACACTAAATATAGCAACTGCATTTTAAGTTTTCCCCACCGAGCATTTTAAGGCTCAGATATTTACTTCTATCATTTCCTAAAATATTATAGTAGATACTGTTATATTTTGTTTTTAATTTTCATTTTGTTTAAAATTTAAGTGATAAGTCTAAAATTTTTTAGCATTCCAATACTACGCTTAAATAAAAATACACACGTATTGCAACTGTTTTTCCTTTTTTTCTGAATATTATTTTTTGTCGCAACGCAAGGCAACTTTTGTGTAAACACAACATTTTATTAAAAATTTATTTCCTTGGATAATAAACCTATTTTGATAAAAATACGTGTCAAAAACGTTTTAAAAATAATTTATTTTAGTGAAATTTGTGTAAGCAAATGATCGAAAAATTTAATTTCTTAAAGAAAAATTCACTAAATAATTAAAACTAATAGAAATATTTAAATTTATCTAAAATCGAAATGAAAATTTTAATTTTTAATTTTTTAATTTTATTATTAATTGAACAACAAATTAATTTTATAAAAGCTTGTTCTTGTCGAAATACAACAGTTAAAGATATTTATTGCCCTTCTAATTGGGGTATGTTATAAACTTTTTTTTATGAATGTTAAATTGAAGAGGAGTAAATTGGAAATATTTTAATATATGAGAAATTAAAGGGTGAAAAATTTTGGAATAATTAAATAATTATATATAGTATTTTCTTTTGTTAGTCTATCAGTTAAAATAAGTAATAGTATTTCTAAATAAGTTCAAGTTTGCAAAAACAAAAAGAAAATTTTTTCTTTAATTTCTTCTAAACTTAATTCTTTTTATAAAAAACAATTTTTAAAAATAATTTTTTAAATAAAAATTTAAGCTGCTCATACTTTAATACTTAAACGTGAAGAAATAAAAGAAGGTGCAGTTTGGGAGTGGAAACTTCGCTATACTGCTAAATTTTTGAAAGTTTTTAAGGTAAATAAATAAACAAATTACATATACCTAACAGAAATTTTAATTAAAAAAGGGTAAAGAAGAGGATTGTGAATATACCAAAAATAATATTTATTATTTATTTACATATGCAAATGATGGCCTTTGTGGTGTTAATCTTAAAAATAACACGGAATATTTAAATTTTGGTAAATTAAATTAAAAAAAATTAATTATTATTTGTATTTTTCCTATTTTTATTAGAGATTAAACAAGATTTTGTTCAAAAATTTTTAGTTATCAGGATAATTATTTAAGATATATCGACGATTGATACTCAAGTCCGTCTCTAATTTTTAACTTCAACATTTTCCAAGAGAGAAAAATAAATAATAGAAATTTCTTAAACAAACAAAAAATTTATAATTTAATCTTTTAAAAATACGGGAAAACCCCAAATTAAAAATAAAAAAGTATTTTCTAAAAAATTGCATAAAGATAGACAGGCATTGTAATCTTTGGATTTACATTTCTAAATGTAAAGATTTCTTAAAAAATTTAATTTAATTTCATAAATCTCTTAAAAAGAAAATCTTCAATATTTATTAATTTTTTAAAATAAATTTGATTAAAAATATTTTTTAGGAGTATATTATCCAAATGGAGAAAGAAATATTGGGTTATGTGGATATAATAATGAATGGAATGCTGTACCCGAAGAAATTAAGAAAGATTTAAATAATGGAGCTTTAGATGATTATTGTAAATTAAAAACAACAAACATTCCAAAAATATAATTATTTAATTTAATTTTTGTTAATAAAAAAAAGTATAAAGTTATTTACTGAAATATATTTTATCTAAAAATATATCAGTTGTAATTAAAAAACATTAACAAATAATTTAAATAATGGGGCTTTTATTTAACCTAATCTTGTGTACCTACTAATCTTGTGTACAACCTTCAGAGTCCTTTTTGTATATACGATCATTACTCAAGTTGTCAAGTGTAGAAATTCGTTATTTTCGATTAATTCTCATTAACTTTTTATATCTGATTAGGTCTGGTCGATCTTTCCATATTTATTTCTCTTAAGTTATCTGAATCCCTCGCCCTACTTATTTGATTAAAAGTATAACTTATATTGAACAATTATTTCTAACAAAATCAGATAGATGTTATGATTCTCATTGAAGAAAGTTTCGCTTATTTTCTGTCTAATAAATGTGTTTAAAACAACTAGAGCTCTAAGATTTAAATTTATCGAAAATATTATTATATTAACAATTATTATTTAAAATTTAATTTTAGATTGACAATAACCGTAAAATCTCTATTAAAGTTCAATTTATTCTAAATAAATTAAATATTTCTTGATTAAAAATATTTTTGAAAAAGATTTAATAAATATATTGCATAAATAAAATCACATTAAAATTTTATTTAAATTCTTAATTTCATCGACTCTGATATTACAACGAAAGAGGAAAATTAATTAATTTATGAAATTATTAGGCTACATACATATTTATGCCAATAGCGCGTGAACAGTAATCTAATTTTTAACCGATCATATTTTCAGCTTTCCTCAAATGGCTCAAGTTTTTTATGGCGCAAATATTTGCTCCGATCATTCATTCCCAAAATATTTTAGTAGATAACGTCATATTGTTTATAATTTAATTGTTGGAGATTTAAGGGCTAAAAAATCTTTTTAGCATTCTAATAACAAACAAAAATAACATAAATTTTGCGACAAAAAATCTTTTGACTTTTATGTAAACACAACATTTTCTAGATTTTTTTTAATTTAATAAACGTGTCAGAAACGTTTTAAAAATAATTTTTTAAAAAGAAAATTTATACAAATATTTATTAAATAATTCAAAAATTTATTATTTAACAAAAGATTCACTAAAAGAATTAAATTAATAAAAATTATTTAAAATTAAAATGAAAATTTTTATTTTAAATTTTTTTATTTTATTATTAATTAAACTACAAATTAATTTTGTAAAAACTTGTTCTTGTTTAAATATAACTGTTAAAGATATTTATTGCCGTTCTAATTGGGGTGTGGAAATTAATTATAGCGATTAATACTAATAGCGATCATTTAAAAATAGTTTTTTCTTTAATTTCTAAACATACCTCTTATTTTTAATTTTAAATTAAAAAATAATTTTTAAATAAAAATTTAAGCTGCTCATATGTTAATACTCGAAAGGGAAATAATAAGAGAAGGTTTGGACAAGTGGTATTGGAAAGTACGATATAACGCTAAATTTTTGAAAGTTTTTAAGGTAAATAAATAAAAATTTATAAATTTTTACTGGTGTTAGGCAAATGGATTTTTCGAATACAAATACGTTGAGTAAAGAAATTAGTACTTTTCTGTTATTTCCTCCAAATTTCCTTTTTTCCTAATTTGATCGTAAATAACTTTATTATGATTAATCCAATCCGAATTAATCTTATAGCATTCGAACGCTCTCATTAAGCGGTATCTTTTTCCCAAGTGATGGATCAAATCTGATCACTCATAAAAAGTTACGACTTAACAAGTGTAAGGTACAATATGTACCAATGCAGGGAATACCGAAAAGTACCGAAAAATACCGAGGCAATACTTTTGGGAGTAACGACTGTGCCTAACACTAGTTTTTAATTTAAAAAAGGGTGAAGAAGAGGATTGTGAATATGCTAAAAATAATTATTATTATTTATTTACATCGTTATATCCAAGCATTTGTGGTCTTAATCTTAAAAATCACACTGAATATTTAAATTTTGGTAAGTTAAAATTGAAGAAATATTTTAAAAATTTAAATTTAATTTTAAAAATAGAGGAGATGAGATTTTGTTCAAAAATTTTAATCATCAAGATATTTTAAGATAGCAATCCGTCTCTACATAATTTTTACCTTTAATATTCATAGATATAGAATAAAAATTTCTAAATAAAAAAATAATTTATAAAATAATTGGTACTTTTCTGTTATTTCCTCCAAATTTCCTTTTTTCCTAATTTGATCGTAAATAACTTTAATATTCATAGATATAGAATAAAAAATTCTTTAAAATAATTATTTGAAAAGATTTCGAAAACATGAAAACAAAAAATGAAAAAAATTTTTTTAGAAAATTATTGAAAAAAGGATGCTTTTTTCAGACTAGGACATAGATACGGATATGGATACAGATATGATAAATTATGTCTGCGGTTATCCATCTGTATTCGCCGTAAATATATAAATTAAATTTAAAATATTTTTCAGGATATTATTCAAATGGAGAAAGAAATATAAATTCATGTGGATATAATAATGAATGGAATGCTGTACCCGAAGGAATTAAGAAAGATTTAAATAGTGGAGCTTTTGATGATTATTGCAAATTTAAAACAACAACCACTCCGAAAATATAATTATATTTATTTAATTTTTGTTGATAAATTGAAAATAAAGTTAAGAATAAAGAATAAAAGAATACGGGTTTATTATCTCCCAGGAATGTCTCTTGTTGGGATAAAAGTCGAATTTGGTTCCCCGATTTAGGGGTTAAAAATGATTCCGGGAATATCGAATCCCAAAAAATTAAGGGTTGCGACTGAAATAATTTAAAAAAAATTTTTTACCCACACTTAAATAAAAATAATAAGCGACAGAAAATTCCTGCATTTTTGAATGTTATTTTCTGCCACAGACGCAAAGAAATTTTCATTTAAACATTCCCTTAATAATTTATTTCGGCAATAAATTTTCTATTTTAATAACGTTTTAGATTAATTTTTTAAAATAAAATTTGTGTAAACAAA